TGTGTTCTGTCCATTTTTTAATGGGATTGTTTGTCTTTTTGTTATTGAGGTGTTGGAGTGTTCTATAAATTCTAGAGATAAGCCCCTTGTCAGATATGTTATTACCAAATATTTTTTCCCAATCTGTAGGTTCTCTTTTGACTCTTTTGGAGAAGTCTTTGAAAGCACATAAAAATTTAATTTTTAGAATGTTGGAGTAAAGTTTTTCGGACCTCCATTTGCTTATGAGGCATGACTCAAAATGGGAAGAAACAGCTGCAAACATCCATTAGTAATTAGAACATGGAATATACAAAGTATGAATCTAGGAAAATTGGAATTTGTCAAAAATGAAAAGGAATATATAAAGATCAAAATCCTAGGCATTAGTGATTTGAAATGGACTGACAGGTGGAATCAGACAATTATGATCACCTATGCTGAGAATGACACGTTGAAGAAGAATGGTGTATAGCATTCATTATCACAAAGAATGTTTCAAGGTCTATCCTGAAGCACAGTGCTGTCAGTGATAGGATAATGTCCATACGCCAGCAAGGAAGACCAGTTAATACTGCTATTAGTCAAATTTATGCACCAACCACTAAAGCCAAAGATGAGGAAATTGAGGATTTTTACTAACTTCTGCAGTCTGAAATTGACCAAACATGCAATCAAGGTGTATGTATTGATTATTACTGGTGATGAGAATGAGAAAGTCGGAAACAAAGAATACCGGTAGTTGGAAAATACGGCCTTGATAATAGAAATGACAATGAAGGTTGCATGATAGAATTTTGCAAGACCAATGACTTACTCATTGCAAATACCTTTTTTCAGTAACATAACAGCAGCTATACACATGGACCTCACCAAATAGAATACATAGGAATCAGATTGACTATATCTGTGCAAAGAGGCACTGGAGAAGCTCATTGTCTTTGGCCAAAACATGGCCAGGAGCTGATTGTGGTCATCAGTTGCTTGTATGTAAGATCAAGTTCAAGGTGAAGACAATCAAAACAAGTGCATGAGAGCCAAAATAATGACCTTGATTATATCGAACCTGAATGTAGAGACCATCTGAAGAATATATTTGGGTCATTGAACACCAATGACCAAAAACCAGATGAGTTGTGAATGACGTTAAGAACATCATATGTGAAGAAAGCAAAAGGTCATTAAAGATAAGAAGAGAAGAAAAGACCAAAATGGATATCAAAAGGAACTCTGAAACTTGCTCTTTAATGTAGAGTACCTAAAGTAAATGGAAGAAATGACAAGATAAAAGAGCTTAGCAGAAGATTTCAAAGAGCAGCTCGAGAAGACAAAGTCAGTTATTATAATGAAATGTGCAAAGACTTAGAGTTAGAAAACCAAAAGGGAAGAACACACTCGGTATTTCTCAGGCTGAAAGAACTGAAGAAAAAATTCAAGCCTCGAGTTGCAATATTCAAAGATTCTCTGGGCAAAATAGTGAATGCAGGAAACATTAAAAGAAGGTAAGGAATACACAGGGTCACTGTACAAAAAAGAATTGGTAAATGTTACTCTGTCTTAAGAGGTGACATATGATCAAGAACCAATGGTATTAAAGGAAGAAGTTGAACTTACACTGAAGAAACTGGCAAAAAAAACAAGGCTCCAGGAATTGACAGAATACCCATTGAGATGTTTCAACAAATGGATGCCACGCTAGAGGCCCTTACTAGTCTATGCCAAGAAATTTGGAAAATAGCTACCTGGCCAACTGACTGGAAAAGATCCAAATTTGTACCCATTCCAAAGAAAGGTGATCCCACAGAATGTGGAAATTGTCAAACAATGTCGTTAATATTGCATGCAACTAAAATCTTACTGAAGATAATTCAAAAACAGTTGCAGCAGTATATTGACAGAACTTCCAGAAATGCAAGCTGGATTCAGAAGAGAACATGGAATGAGGGGATATCATTGCTGATGTCAGATGGATCTTGGCTCAAAGCTAAGAATACCAGAAAGATACTTACTTGTGTTTTATTGACTATGCAAAAGCACTTAACTGTGGGGATTGTAACAAATTATGGATAACATTGAGAAAAACGAGTATTCTAGAACACTTAATTGTGCTCATGAGGAACCTATACAAAGACCAGGAGGCTGTTGTTCTAACAGAACTAGGGGATACTGCAAGGTTTAAAATCAGGAAGGGTGGTAGAGCTATATCTTTGACCATACTTACTCAATCTTTATGCTAAGCAAGTATTCTGAGAAACTGGACTATATGAAGAAGAATGTGATATCAGGGTTGTAGGAAGACTCATTAACAACCTGCGATATATAGATGACACATCCTTGCTTGCTGACAGTGAATTATGACTGAAGCATTGACTGATGAAGATTAAAGACTAAAGTTTACAGTATGAATTACCCCTCAACATAAAGAAAAAGAAAATCCTCACAACTGGACCAATAAGCAGCATCACAATAAATGGAGAAAAGATTGAAGTCATCAAAGATTTCATATTACTTGGATCCACAGTCAACACTGAGGGAGGCAGCAGTCAGGAAATCAGATGTTGTATTGCTCTGGGCAAATCTGCTGCAGAAGACCTCTTTCAAGTGCTGAAGAGCAAAGATGTCACTTTGAAGACTAAGGTGCACCTAACCCAGTGGTATTTTCAGTGGCATCATATGCATGTGAAAACTGGACAGTGAATAAGAAAGACCAAACAAGAGTTGATGCTTTTGAGTTGTGGTGTTGGTGAAGAGTACTAGTTGAGTTGTGGTGCCAGCAAAGAATATTGGAAGTATCATGCACTGCCAGAAGAATGAACAAATCCATCCTGGGAAGAAGTGCAGCCAGAATGCTTCTTGAAAGCAAGAATGGCTAGACTTTGTCTCACCTGCTTTGGTCATGTTCTTAGAAAGATCATTCCCTGGAAAAGGATATCATCCTTGGTAAAGTGGAGGGTCAGCGAAAAAGTGGAATACCCTCAACGAGATGGACTGACACAGTGACTGCAACAATGGGCTCAGGTGAAGCAGGACTGGGCAGTGTTTCATTCTGTTGTGTGCAGGGTTGCTATGAGTCGGAGCTGACTCGGCGGCACCTAACAACAACAACAAGGACTTTTTTATATTAGCTTATACATCAAATCATCTAGATAATCTTAAAATATTTTTATATTCAAGCTTTTAACTTAATTTAGAATACCTTATCTGTTCATAAGTTTTTAAAAATATACTACATATCCATTTAAACAATCTAGCAGTTCCAAAAATTTGGAACCGTTAAACTTTTGGAATTTCATAAATGCAGCCTTTTTTTAAAAAATACGTATATGTATGTATTTTGTTGTTGAGAATATACATAGCAATCCATACACCAATTCTGCATTTTGTACGAGTACATATAGTGACATTGATTACATTCTTTGAGTTGTGCAACCATTCATATCTTCCTTTCCTGAGTTGTCCCTCCATCATTAACATAACTACTGCTCCCTGAGATTGTTATATATGTAACCTTTTGAGTTGGTGTTGTCAATTTGATCCTACATACATAGCTCTTAAAAAAGCGTAATTCTAAAGGCAGACTTAAAAAAAAAAAAAAAAAACTTAAGACTCAAGTGAAGGTTTACAGAGCAAATTTGTTGTCCATTAAATAGTTCATATCCATTTTCTTTCTTGACATTGATTGCAATCTCCACAGTGTAACAGATCTCTTCCCCTTTCCTCCTTGTGATCTTTCTTTCTATGCATTCATGCCTTCTTGAGCTTTCTCCTTACACAAATGCCACCCTTTTGATTTCCTATAGTTGGTTGATCTAATGAGTATATCCGCCTGGTATAATTGTTCAGCTCCTTAAGCCTGTTGTTTGGCTGAAGGTTAACCCATGGGAGTAGGTTCAGTTCCAGTCTCAAAGGTTAAGTAGGGGATTTGACTGCTAACCAGAGGCTGGCAGTTCAAACCCACCAGCCACTCCTCAGAAGGAAGGTTGGGCAATCTACTTCCATAGTGATACCACCTTGGAAACCCAAGCAGGGGTAGCTATGAGTCGGATCCGGCTCAACAGCAGTGAGTTTGGTTTTGGGTTTGTTTTTTTTTATAGTCTTAGAGGTTTTCCCACTTTCTTATCATACCAGTAAGCCTACTATCTTTTATGATTTTGAGTTTTGCTCCACATTTTTCTCTGTCTATCCAGGACCTCCAATTGTGATTCCTTTCTGAGTGGTTGGCTGTAGTAGCCAGGTACCATCTAGTTCTTCTGGTATCAGGGTCCTGTAGGCTGAGGCCACAGTGGTCTACTAGTCCCTTGAACTAATTTTAGACATTTTTGACTAGTTAAGTTAAACCATTATTGATAATTGTAAAGAAATTGGAAGTTTATAAGATTTTCATTTTAGTGTGTCCAATATTTTGAGAGTCAAAATGATTTCTAAAGATAGTGCTATTCTATGTTACAGTCCTATTAGAATGATGATGTATTATTCTTTATACAGGGGTTGTGGATATACCATATATTCCTTCACAAATTACCTTTCCTAAGTAATTACACAGTTCAGAAATCAGTGTGGGAGTGAGAATGTTTGCTTTCATGTCTCATTCACATTGAGGGGAAAAACAAATGTAGTCAATTAAAAAATGTCACCTAACTAAAGATAAACATTTATTAAATACGTATTGTGTTTGCACACTATACTAGGCCCTTCATATAAATTTTCTTATCCAGTCCCTGTCACAGTCCTATGAAGTAGATAGATAGATGCCATTATTGTTACAAATATTTATGTTTCAGTGAAAAATGTATTTTTTGTACTTATATGTAAATGAAGATGTATAGATTCTGAAAGTTAATGCTAAATGAAATCACATTGTGTGAAACCTGATTTGGGACAGACTAGTTGATTTGTGGTTTTCCTTACTCTCTTCTGGTCATTTATATATATATATATATACAATTCATCTTATGTATCACAGGAAATACAAGACTTGTGCTGCAGCCTCAGTATTGCTGAAATTCTGCATGTTTCTTATTTTATGTGACTGGATAGTGGTGAAATGGTAAATAGCTAAAGCCAGGAGTCAGAGCAACTAGCTGAACAAGATCCTGTATTGCCTGATAATTTAGACATCAGATAACAGCAGAGCATGGCATGAATATCCTTCTGAGGGCAATCAGCAGTGGGTCTTTGTCCTTCATTAAACACTTTTTTATGTACCATGTATGTTCCATGCTCTTTCAGAGGGTTGAGGTATTGAACTAGATAGAGGAAGATCTGCTCCCAAAGGCTTTTTCTCCTAGGAAGAGCCTTGAAACATCTAGTCCAAACCCATGAGTTAACAATTAAAGGAACCAGGGAAAAGAAGAGACAACATGGAGCAGTCGAAAAGGTACAGGCTTTAGATATGGGCAAGTCAGGGTTCACATTCAGACTTTGCCAAGTACTAATGTTTACTTTGGGCAAGTTTCTTAACTGTCAGTGCCTCTATTTTATCTAAAAATACTGTTTATAGGCTACTGAAAGCATTAGAGATTTTATAAAGCACCTGATACATAGCATATCCATGCTAAGATGTTGAGATTACATTTATGTACTGGACAGTTCTGGGGATTAGAGTGAGAGCTGCTTTGTCACACAGCTCTGGGGCACGATTGACATCATGACCCTTGGAGAATTATGCAACACAGCAGTTCTGGTAAAAAGTGAACTAATAATATTAAAGAATAAAAATCTATGATTATATTGAATCTAATACTTGGTTAGTGGTAAATTTGAGTAATTATAATAGCCTAATTATTATTTTGCTTAAATTGGTATTAAAAATTATTTGGGTTTTTTATGTAAGAATATATGTGACAGTCCCAAACAGAAGCAGCTCAGAAGCAGCTGTATTAGATTAGAAATATACTAGAGATAATTCCAATTTCAGATAATTAGAAATAATTGAAATAACACTGGATTTTATATTCTTAGCAACTGATTAGGGTTAGAAGCTAGGAGCCAACCTGCCCTTATGGACCAGAGAACTGAACCTTTATTTATAGTGCCCTTGAGTTAGAACAGGTGTTCTTTAGATATGTGGTTGATCTTGCTCCACAATTTTGTCTTAATCTCCAGCTCTGCCTAAAAATAAAGCTAAGCATATGTAGTTCTGTTGGTCATTTTCTAGAAGCAAAAAGGGCACAACAAACAGAACAAGAGCAAGAGAAAGGAAAATTATCAGTGAAGTTCAGTGAGTAAATACTAATAAAATTTAAGTATGATAACAAATAGAGGTTTCCAAAATTGTTACCCAGGAGTTGATTGATTTTCCACTAAAATGAGAAAAAGTTTAGAGGTGGGAGGGATTTTAAAAGGTACCTAATCTAGGTAATTGTGTGCATGTGTGGACAGCTTACTGTTTTCATGGTGGTTGCAGCGTGTTGGTTTTTCCTTTTCATACTGATTGATTTATGTTCCTCTTTCAGCTTTATTTATATTCTATAGTTACACATTATTTTTATGGAGATACACAAATATTATTTGAATATGTATTTGAATATATAATTATATAATTGAATATAAAATTTTGTCCCTGATACAATTATTTCCTAAACATGTTAAGCGTAAAACCATTTTGTGTCAGTTTTAAAACTTTGCTTCTTCCATTCTGATCTTAGAAGTTACAGTGTGTTCGTGTTCTTCTGAGGTGTCAGCCAAGTTTGTTCTTCATGCAATACAGCTTGTGAAGCAAAGAGCATATCGAAGTCATGAATTCTATAAGTTTTGTTCCCTTCCAGAAAAAGGAACACTGACTGAAGCTTTTCCTGTCTTAGTAAGTTTGAATAACATTTTGAAATCTTAGAACACTTTCCCTCTTTTTAGTATAGCTTTAATCTATTTGATTTTATAGTTTGTATTCATAATCCCTTGGGGCTATATACTTTGTCAATGCTGAATAAATGAAATAAGAAGATCAGGAGTCTAATTATTAGGATACTTGAGACTGATTTGGGGTAAATAGTAATCTTGATTCACTCAGAAAAAGTGCTATTTCAAAAGATTCTTACACCTTATAATTTGAATACTGATTGGGATTGTTTCTTCATAACTAAGACTGGTAACTTATTTAAGTATTTTTTGCATGTCATTTAATTTATTAATGCCCTGTTGTTGAGGATTCCTGTGATTAGATTGCCTTTAGGTGAAGCTTCTACTGCTTTGTACCTAAATTATCTCAAAATATGGCAGATCTGTGTTCTACTCTTTCTTATCTACAGTGTTAGAGTTGATGACTAGACCTTCCTCCACAGATCATGAATGGACTGATGTTCATCTTTAAACTTTCTTCTTTGCACCTTTAATTGGTTGTATGATCTTTACCTTATCCTTTATAGTTTCTGACTATTTCCACTAGTGTCCTTGTGTGTGTCAGTGTTACATGCATGATTCATTGGGAGCTCTGGTAGCATAGTGGCTAAGGCACTTGACTGTTAACCAGAAGGCTGGCGGTTCAAACCCACCATCCACTCCTCGGAAGAAAGATGGGGCAATCTACTTCCATAGTGATACTGCCTGGGAAACCCAAGGAGGGGTTGCTGTGAGTCGGGTCTGACTCGATGGCACATAACAACAACAACAATTATTACTGGGGAATTTAATATATACACACACACATGCACACACACACCTTTACAAAGAGCCAAACTCAGTGCCATCGAGTTATTTCTGACTCATAGTGACCCCCATTAGATTTCCGAGGCTGTAAATCTTTACAGAAGTAGATTGTCCAGTCTTCCTTCCACGGAGCAGCTGGTAGGTTTGAACCACTGACCTCCCGGTTAGCAGTCAAGTTCCTTATCCACTATACTACCAGAGCTCCTTTATATATACATATATAATGATAACCATAATTTTATTTTGCTTGCTTTGCCAGATAGCTCTGAGCCTAAAATTCAATGTGGCTATTGAAAATGCCTTACAGAGTTACAATATCCTTTCTCTTGTATTCATTCTTAAATGTATTTCCTTTGGTCTTAATTTTTATTCTAATTTAGTTTTCATTATTACTATGTATGGTAGTATAGTGCCTAAGGCATTTGACTGCTAACCAGAAGGCTGGCGGTTCAAACCCACCAGCCACTTCTCAGAAGGAAGTCTGGGCAATCTACTTCCATAGTGATACCGCCTCGGAAACCTGAGGAGGGGTCGCTATAAGTCAGATACAACTCGACAGCCATGGGTATACTCTTAAAAACTGCCTGAGATATTTTATGACAAAAAAGAAGTATAAGATAATGAGTAGATAACAGTTTGTATTTACATTCTGCACTTACCTATGCAGCTATGATTATGTAACAAACCTAGCTGGAAAAATCTTTTGGGTTTTCTTTCTGGACAAAGAAGAAAAGTTTGGTGCTTTGAAACACTCAATATTTATATTTTGTAACTTGAAGAAAAATGAGAAAAAAGATGAACATTTATAATTTTCATTTTTATTTGCAGGGTGGGAAAGCAATTGAATTTTGCATTGCTCGTTGGTGGGCAAGTCTTAGTGATGTCAATATTGATTATACTATTTCTTTCCATGGGATAGTTTGTACTGCTCCTCAGCTAAATATTGTAAGTTCCTTGACATTTCCATCATTTTTAATGCCTATTATTTGTACCATTGAAAAATAACCTTATTAAGTGGATTTAAATTTTAACTGAGAAATTACCTCTGGTTCTGAAAATAACAGTTGTCTTTGTTCATGGATGCTTATATACTTTGTATTAGAAATATTTATTTTATGGACAAAATACTGTTTTAAAATAGTTTATTTTAACACAGTTTAATAAATTAACTTATAAATATCCTTTGTAGCATGCATCAGAAGGAATCAATCGTTTTGATGTTCAGTCCTCCTTGAAATATGAAGATCTGGCTCCCTGCATAACTTTGAAGAGCTGGGTCCAAACACTACGGTATCATTAATTGCTTAGAAACTACAAATGTTGACTCTTGATATAGTGGGGAAGGGTGTCTATTATACTCTTCAAACAGTCACTTCTTTAAAATCCATCTGAATGCTGGACATGAAAATTCAGTTTGTGACTTTCCAGACTAAAATGCTCATGAGTTTCTGAGAGGCAGCCCCAGCAGCAGCTTCCCATCTGCCAATAAGGTTAAGGATGGAGGAGGACAGTAGTTGATCTCAGTCAAGGATAGTTAATGGTCAGTGGATTATTGGGCATTAATCTTTTATTTCTTGCCAAAAAAATAACAAGTTAACCCTCTCTGGCACTGCTATATCTTTCTCCCATGAAGTGACTGGTGCGTTCGAACCCCTAGCTTTTTCATTTGCAGCCAAGTGCTTTAACCACTGTGCCACCAAGCCTTCTTTTTATTCTATAAATACTTAGCATTTTCAGCAACTTGCAACACTGGAAAATATTACAGTGGTAATACTTTTTTACTGAATTGTTTTATTAAATGGTAGAAGTGTTTAAGTATTCAAATGTTTATGCCCCAACAGCTCCCTAGTAGAGCTTGTGGCCTGTGCTCGGGCACTCAACATATTATAAAAATATCTGACTTTTATTGCTAAAGCTTATCTTAACATATATCAGCTTGAAAGCTATTAATAAGTGTATTAAGATAACTAGTTAGGAAATTAGGTGACCCGGTAATATCTTAAAATATACTACCTTCTAGAATTAGCAACAAATATTCAAGAACTCCCATGTTTTGAAGGTATATACAGTGTATATCATCTTAATGTTCTCCTCTTTAATCTAAAAAAGTGGAACTAAAATTAGAGAAGTAAAATAATAAATTTTACTCATTTTTAATTATAAAAATTTATTCACCCAGTTTGAGTGTTCTTTTTTATATGATGTATATTAAAATAATATGCTTCAGAGAATTAATAAAAAGATTAAATAATGTGTAAACTGCTCAGTGTGTTACCTGGCATATAATTAGCACCAACATGATACTGTTTGTGACCTGTGCAGTGAATATGTGCAACATCTCACTGCAATTTGGATATGGAGACAAATCAAAACCTATTTGCACTGTTAGGGATTGTCGTGATTAGATTGGGATTTGGTTATTAACAGCTACTTTGTAGTGCCTAAGGCATTTGACTGCTAATCAGAAGGCTGGTGGTTCATATCCACCAGCCACTCCTCAGAAGGAAGACTGGGCAACCTACTTCAGTAGAGATACAGCCCCAGAAACCCAAAGAGGGGTCGCTATGAGTTGAAATCAACTTGATGGCAGTGGGTTTGGTTTTTTGTTGTTGCTGTTGATATCCAAAATGTTTTTATCATGGAAAGTTGTTATCTTTATAGCAGTATTTATTGTAAAATTTGAAGTATATGCGTTGCTGTGATTAAGTCAGTAAGAAGTATAACTTAACCATTAAAATATGTAAAATATACTGAAAAGGGCATTTTTAGGTATTCTTATTTGTCACTCATTAGAATACATTGTAGATTTTGTTACCTCTGTTCTTGTCTCATTAAGTGAGTACTTGAATACATAACTTATGCCATTGCCTAATTACAGCCCAGTGAGTGCAAAAACAAAGCCTTTAGGATCAAGAGATGTATTACCGAATAATCGTCAACTCTATGAGATGATCCTGACATACAGCTTTCATCAGGTATGTATGTAATAAGTTATACTTCCACATGAACTTTCATGTTTTGTTTATGAGTCATGAAATCTAAAATGGGAGGACTATGTTATCATTCAACTCTGAAATTACAAATTCTAACTTAACAATAATATGGCCTTTAAGCCTTCCTTTCTGTGTTCACTGATACCTAGTTCAGTGTTACCAAGTGGTAATTAGATGTCATGCAATTGCCAGATGCCTTATGACTGTGCTCCTGAATCTGCTGTGAAGCAGGCATTGGAACAGTGAAAGATCAAAATAGTTATTAGGTTGAATGAATAGAAAAGCTACTTAAGAAGAGTATGAATGCTGGATCAAAGAGTTTATGTTGGATCGGTAAGATATCAGAGATCCTCTTAATGACGCAAAATAAGAATTTGATTTAATGTTAAAATTAATGATTTCAGTGAATTGCTGCATGTCAATTTTAAGAAGTATTAAGAGGTCCTAAAGCACAAATATTGCTCTATTAATGACTAAATAGTTAGGTTTACATTTTTAAAAGTTTGTAAAATAAGAAAAGTGCTTTTTCTTAGTGCCAAAATACTGGATACTCAACATTTTAGAAATTATTTACCATAGGAAAGCATTATTTTTGTTGAAAAATTCTTACATCATTTTTATTATTATAAAGTTCTATTCGATGTCATATGTAAATCATGTCAAGTAATCATTCTTTTTTTTATAGCCCAAGAGTGGAGAAGTAACTCCAAGTTGCCCGCTACTTTGTGAATTATTATATGAATCAGAATTTGACAGCCAGCTGTGGATTATTTTTGACCAAAACAAAAGACAGTTGGGTTCAGGTGATGCTTATCCACATCAGGTATAAAACTGGCAGTGATTTTTAGAATTAATAGAAACTATTTCCTGAACTGTGAATTCCTACTTTATTTTTATGGTGATAGTCACTGTTGTTTTATAGTTAACACTTTTATGCTCATTTGTTTATTGTAGTTGTTAAGCTGACCGTGACAGCTTGTTTAATTGAATCAAGTTTTAAGGTAGAAGAGGACAGGGATGACACTTGTGGACACTGGCCAGCATAGCTTTTTATTTTTAGTATTTCTTCTTCCTGTACTCTGCTTCCACCTATCTCAAAGTTGAGAGCAAGTCAGAGATATATGAGCACCTTGAATTGATCCCAAGAATGAATAGATTAAAGAGATCACTATGTCTGTGGCCAAGTGGCAGCAAGGTCTTCTTGTACTGATCCCTTTGCCAGGAGAGCATGGAGTAAGTAGAGATAATTTACCTAAGTACTTTGGGGCTTTCTATTTTTTATCACTTCTAAATTTGTTACACAGTATTTTTTTAGCTGCAGCTGACATACCTACTTTATGTGAACTTTATTTCAAATATGCACTGTTATCTCTGTGCTTAAGAGAAGATCTGTGAGATAGCATTTGCTCTCAGTAGATGGTTTTAACTCCAGTAACTGATTGTCATTTGTGTGGTTCTGATTGTTTTACGTTTTGTCCTACCCACTTGTTGTTCTTAGCTACTGTGACATATGTACCCTGAAGGATATTATCAAATACACAGTGTATTTATGCAGGAATAGTGCATTTTATTTAAGATTTATAAATATATATACATACATATATACACACACACACACACACACGTATATATGTATGTATATATATCCCCCCCAAGTGTTATGTTTTGATGTACATTTCCCTAATGGTTAAAGGCATCCTTATGTGCTTATTGACCATTTGTCTAGCGTCTTTGGAGAAGTATCTACTTATGTCTCTCTCTTTTTTTTTTTTTTTGTAATTGTGATTTGGGTGAAAGTGTACAGAGAAAATTGGTTTTCCATCCAGCAATCCATACACATTCTGTTTTGTGACATTCACTGCAATCTCCACACTATAACAACATTCTTCCCACTTCCTCCTGGCTCTCACCCGTTGCCTTCATCCTTCCTTCCTTCCTATCCCTTCCCCCCTTCCTAGCTCTGTCCCTGAGCAAATGCTGTCCTCTTGATCTCATATACTTGACTGTTCTAATGAGTGCATACCCTCCTGATATTACTGTTCACCTTATAGGCCTGTCTATAGTCTGGCTGAAAGTTGAGTCATGGGGTTAAATTCAGTTCTTAGCTTGAAGGGTCTTTAGGGCCATTGTCTCAAAGTTTCTACCAGTCTTCATCAGACCAGTTAAGCCTAGTCTATTTTATGATTTTGAGTTCTGTTGCACATTTTCACCTGCTCTATCCAAGACCTCCTATTGTGCGCCCTTTCAGAAGATCCTATATATCTTATTAAACTCAGTCTTCTAAAGAGCCTCCTTTAAAAATGCAGCCCTGGGAATGATCTATTTTCCTATCAAACTTAGAGCTTATGTGAATTTTTTTGTTGTTTATAAGTAGCAAACTTTGAGTTTTGGTTAAAATAATTTAGGCAGTTCTTAAACAATATGGCTTAAATAACTTTATATACTTTTGTCAGTTTGCAAAAAGGGCAAAGAGGCCACATGTTCTGACCTCCTCTAACCCCACAAGAGGAAGATGGGATTACTAGCAGTAACCCAAGGCCTAGTCCTGCAAGGCCAGACATGCTGCTTCCCTCCAGCCCTTTCACCAACCGTTCCTCCCAAAGCACCCACCACCTCTCTCCTGGGTTTGATAATTCACTGCAGTGGCCACACAGAGCTCACAGATTATGGGGTTTATTAGGGAAGCACCACAGGCTACAATTCAAGTTCAGGAAAAAATGCTCAGTCTCTCTCCCAGCCCACCGTCCCTCAGCCAACAGTCTCTCACAGTCTCTTTTCCAGCAGTACTGGTCCCTCAGTGTCTCACTCAGCGATGCATGTCTCTTGTGTCTCTTTCCCAGCAACGCGTGGCTCAGGAGCCCGTGTCCCTTTCAGCAGCACGTCTTCCTCAATCAGCAGTCAGAGAGAGTTCTGCCTCTAGGAGGCCTCCTTTTGAGCCCAGCAGAGTGGTCAAACTAGCCAATCATAGCATCAGAACTCTAAGCACCTGAGAGAGAGTGGGAATCTCCCAGAACATTGTATTGTGCCACACCCAACAGAAGTAACCCAGTGGATAGCTTCAGGAATCAGGAGCTCCTCAGTTGCTCATAGAAAATCCCACCTTGGAGTTTACAAAGACTTATCGGTAGAAAAGCCACACTAAGTAATTTACTACACTGCACAGTTAAAGTTAACATCTTACTTACATAATTTATTAGACAGTTAAAAGATTAGTTAAGATAGGTATTTTCAGTTTACATATTATTAGTACTTATGAATTTATTTCTTTATTGAATAACTGTGTAGTGAGCACTTACTATGTACCAAGCACTGTTCTTGGCACTGTCATATTGAGAGTAAAAAGTTCTTTTAATCTATGGATATTTTATACTTGATTCAAATATGATTACAAAGAAATGATGTATTTTCTGTAACATTATTTTATGTTGAATATTATAATGAACATAATTTGTACAGTGTGGGTTGGTTTTTTTTCAGTTAGTCATTTAAGGAATGATTTCCTTTTTTTTTTTTTCTTTTTGATGAAAACAAGAAGTATTTACTTCTCAGTACAGACTAGATTTTATCCTGCTGTACTCTGATTACTTTATAATCTCCTCAAAAGAAACTGCTCATGCAGAATACAGCCTTATATCCTTTTGGGCATGTTAACCAGATGGAGCCTAGTATAGTAGACTTGTATTCTTTAATCTCTGTTGGCTTCCTGACTTGCCTGTCTGCCATCAAAGATGGGACATTTTGGTTATAATATGAATATTACCAGAAACTATGTGTGTGTATGTGTCTTGTTGTTAAATGCCATCAAGTTGGATCTGACTCATAGCAACCCCTCCTTGGGTTTCCGAGGCAGTATCACTACAGAAATAGATTGCCCAACCTTCCTTCTGAGGAATGTCTAGCGGGATTGAACCACACGCCTTCTGGGTAGCAGTCAAGTACCTTAGGCACTAAGCTGCCAGAGTTCCTGTATGTATCTTATACTGTGTTTTATTATTTCTTTCCCTGCTATGGTTCAATTTTGCTAAATTTTGGCATTCTTTAGTACATATCTTTGAGGGCTTATGACTAGAAAATCATTTTTATTATTATTCTCAAGCAGAGGCAGATTTAGCCAAGAGTATTGGATTATTCTGAGGAAAGAAGGAGGACTTTGTATTCAGACCTAACTTGTACTCCTGGCCTCATCTTGAGCAATCTGTTTAATGTCGCTAAGTTTATTTGCTTACCTGCAAAATAGGGACTCTGTATATAAATATATGTATAGTGCCTTGAGCTATACCTCACATTTTGTAAGATTCTGTAGTAGTAACTATTCTTATTTGTCCTCTTACTATGATTTCAGTTTACCTGGGTTAAACCTTACTTTTTCACAAATGTTTTTCTTTTTCAGTACTCTTTGAAACTGGAGAAAGGAGATTATACAATTCGACTACAGATTCGTCATGAGCAAATCAGTGATTTGGAACGTCTTAAAGATCTTCCATTTATTGTTTCTCATAGGTTGTCTAATACCTTGAGCTTAGATATTCATGAAAATCATAGCCTTGCACTTCTAGGAAAGAAGAAGTCAAGCATTCTGACATTACCACCCAAATATAACCAGCCATTCTTTGTTACTTCCTTACCTGATGATAAGTAAGTGATATTGTTCCTTATATTTAATACCCATTTTATACACTGTAATCTTTTAATTTAATATGGACCTGTGGTGATGCAGTGCCTAAGGCATTTGACTGCTAACCAGAAGGTTGGTGGTTCAAACCCATCAGCTGCTCCATGGAAAGAATATGGGGCAGTCTACTTCTGTAAAGATTTACTGCCTTGGAAACCCAGTGTGGGGGTCTCTGTGAGTAAGAATTGACTTGTTGGTAGTAAGTTTGTGTTTTGTTTTGTTTCAATCTTTTAAAATGTTAATTCATTACGTTAAGCTGAATGTTTATAGTGTCTTACCATTTTTTAAATTTTAGGCTGAGATTATTTCTCCCTTAGATTGTTGAGCTCTTATCTTATGAGAATTATTTCAGAATGGAATTGTTTTGATTTTATCCGCCTTAATTATCTTTGTGAAATTTTTTCCTTTGTTGCCTTTCTTTTAATCTTCTTATTAGAATACCTAAAGGAGCAGGACCTGGATGCTACCTTGCAGGATCCTTAACATTGTCAAAGACTGAACTTGGAAAGAAAGCTGTAAGTATTAGTTTCTTTTCCAATGGAATTATCTTATACCAAAATTCCCATTTCTTTAAAGGTGATATTAATTTCACTACCAGAAGATACACCAGAAGAAAATTTCAATTGATTTTTTTTTTCTATGTTACTAGTAGAAGTTTATTAATATTTGGTTGTTTTGAAATGTGTCATGTTTTAAAAATACTTAGTATTCTTTTTCCCAAGTCTAAGTACTCTGGCCCTGAACCTATCTTGCATGGTTAATATACTTCAAATTTATGTGAAAAATGTTCTTTTGTATTTAGAGTCGAATCAGACTTGGCATAAGCATGTAACATGTTTATAATTAGTACATTTTATAGAATTTTGGCCCACATCATATTTTGAATATCAGAATTTGCTTGTGTTGCTTCTGAAAGTACTTAAAACAATTATTAGCAGTGAACAGTATTTTTTCATACTTGCACAGACCTTTCTCATTTGAATTTTGAGTAATTGTATAGGTAAATAAAAGGTATTCATTTTGGCATTGCCTTTTACAGTTTCAAAAGTATGCTTTTTGTAAAAGCATGATTCTGTTATACTGTAGATGATAATGTTACATTTTTTGGTAAGTACCTGTTTAGTTTTTCCATCTGCATTTTCATTACAAAAAAAAAATGTTCCTATATTATTAATATTAACCAGTGTCATATATCTTAAAAATTGTGTTTATCTCTTGCCACTATAGAACCAATGGTCATATATTCACTGTCATAGAAACATAACTTGGGGATTTTGAGTTTTGAAAAAAGTTGTTTCTTGACATTTCTTGAATCTCATTTCCAATTATGCTATTTACATGTACATACTTTTCTGCAGAATTTGAAGTGAATCATGAGTTGATAATGGGTTTCCCAGATGCACTGATTTAAGAAATTCTGGTATTCTCTTTTTTTTTTTTTTTTTTTTGGTAGATTTCATTTCTTGGGAAGCATAGCTGCCAGTCTTGTTTTTTACCCAGGTGACTCTTGTAAAGAGTTCACGTTCTTGTGAGGAGTATAACAGAAAAATATTTTTATTAAAAGTACTCTTTCAAGCAATTCAGAAATAGATACTATGTCCTGACTATATTCTTTCAGAGGCAATTGTGAAACTATAGTTACTATTTAACAGGATAGGTTTTCTTGAGAGAGAGCTATCAGCTCATTTTAATTTACATCTTATAGTTTATTTAATTATACCTCAGTAGTTTGCATTTCTTAAGTTTTTGGGGTTTTTTTTTTTAAGAATGCATAGGCATTTGTGAATGATGTGACATCTTTTAATATTAGACTCTGTAGACAGCTAAATTTACTGTTTCAAAAACGTTTTGTTTTAATGGATTTTATTCTAAATTTTTTAAAATAAACAATTGAATAACATTCACCACTAGAAATAACATATTTCATTAAAAAAATGAAAGTGGCAATGTTGCTTTCTTTAAAAGCATGCCATTTAGTACCCTGCTAAGTACTATGACACATGCAGATGGAATATAAACTGAAAGAAAGTTTTAGACAGAGGTGGTATCTCCATCCTGTGTAGATTATGCATGTTTTCTTACAGAATGTCATTCTAACTCCCAGGGGCAGTCTGCAGCAAAACGACAAGGAAAATTAAAAAAGGTACTGATTGTCAGTTCTTTAAAAAGATGTATTAAAACCTTACCTGCATATTCATTTTTTTTTTCTATCACTATTAAGAAACAAATCCTACCCTTAGTTTTCTTTCTTTAAATTCTACAGTATAGTATATTTAGTTAAACTTGCAATGTTGATATACTACTTTTTAAAGGTTTTTTTTTTTTTCCCACTGTAAATTGCTAGAAGAACCCTTGTTTTACAAGTGTATGGAAAAAAATTTAGTGCTTTTAATTTCTTAGTACAAATATGATACCAAACAATAATATATGAAATGCTGCTTATTTAAAATCCTATAGAAAGATAAATGTGATTGTTTAGCTATACAGGTGAAAGAAAGCACTTACTTAATTTTTAAATTCTAAAAACATTCTTAAATTGGATGATTTGATTCACAAAGTATTCCAGCTTTTTGAAGTGAAATTTATTCCTTGCTCTTGCAACTTGTAGCTCTGGAATGTCAGACAAAACAGCATTGGGCGTAACAGGAACAGAAATGAGGGCTGCTGAACAAAAATTATGACATAATAAATACATGAACAGATTTCAAAACCATAACTAGTAAGTGGTCTGTTAGCCTTCCCTGAAAATTTTTACGCAGTCCTTGATTTAATCAAGCCAAATTTATCTCAGAAAAGAAAAAATCTACTTCAAGTAAACTTTAGAAATGGGAATACATATTTGTAGTGAATGAGCTCTCTAGTAAAGAGCTGCTGACAATATACATACTCAGCATTTCAGTGCTTTTTTTTTTTTTTGCATTAAGCAGGAATTACTGTAATGGGAGAATTCCTATTTTAAGGTAAAGGTTCATAATGGTATGAAACTCAGGATCATTTTTAAATAGGTAAAATAATTTTTTGTTGTTATAGTATCTCATGAAATGTCCATATGATTAACTCATGATACTTTGTTCTAATAAAATACATTACTAGGAATCATCTTTCTATATAAAGAAATACCTGCTTCTCCCTAAATCAACTGAGTGTCTTAACCCATTTATGGCCATATAGATTTATTTAATGGACCATTACAGCATTGAAAATAAAATAAACTGAAGCAGAAAATGTCAGTTCTTCAGATTCATTAAACAAATTTCTTTATATATATATATATATATATATATATGCATGTGTTTTGTGTCATGGTGTAGACAATTTTAAAGCTTTGGAGAATCACAAGTTAATCTAGGAATCCATTAAAAATAAAAGGCACACATATCATGAAAGCTATAGCCATTTTTTATTTTGTTTCATTTCCTTCCTGTTATATATTCCGGTTGACCTTTTGTGAGCTTTGGTGGATTTCGTTTGGGTTAGATTGTACTAGACAGGAAAGAGAGTCCAGGGGTGGTACAAACATTTAATATGCACAGCTGCTGAATAAAAGGTTGGTGGTTCATGTCCACCCAGAGGCCCCTTAGAGGAAAGACATGGTTATGTACATCAGCCATTGAAAATGCTAAAGAGCAATTGTACTCTCACATACTTGGAGTCAGCATGACTTGGAAACCACTGGACAGTAAGTAGTTTACTGAATGAGATAGGAAAGTATCAAATGAATAGGAAGATTATTACTTGATGGTAAAGAAAATTTTTATATAAAACTTGGCAGCTAGAGTTTACCTCTGCTTATTTCTCCCTATCGTAAGTAAAAGTAGTACACAGTAAAGCTCTTATTTTAAAAACAATTACTATAAATCCACTCCTGTGGCTTCCAGCCAAACAGAAGATAGGCATATGAACTGAACATTTGCACTGGGTAGATACATTCCTAGGAGAGATGAAACATGTGAGAATAGAAGGGCTATGTATATATTGGGATACAGCTCAGTTGGCAATAGTGCATATGAGCAAAGGACACAAAAGTGGTAACTATGGGGAGGGAGTGGAAAGAGAGCTGTTGCATTGTAGGAAATTGCAGTTGATGTCGTGAGACAGTGTATGTGAACTGCTGTATGAAAATGAATTGCTCTGTAAACTCACCCAAATCACAATAAATTTTTTTAATTTAATCATTATAGTTTTATAAGCACATTTCAAAGGAAAAAGTAGTATATATGTGTGTATACATGTATCTTTGAGGTCATGTGTCAGTTAGCATACATGATGTGTCATGTGAAATAGGACATTTATGTGATTTAGACATTGTACAAACACCATATCATAGTCAGGTCCTCCAGCTTTTTCTTTAAGCATCTTGAAACAAGTTCCTCAACATGCTGAGAGAGAGATTCCCTTTTGTGTTTGGTTCTAAATCCAGCATCATTAGCAATTTCTCCATACGGGCCCCTCTTCATTTTCATTACCCTTGTAGCTTTCAGTGGAGCCAGTCCTTCAACATCTTAGAGAATTTTTTCTTTAAAGATGAGAATATATCCATCCAGGAAGTCCAACGAACCCCAAACAGGATAGACCCCAAAAGAAAATCACCAAGACACATCATCATCAAACTGACCAAAACCAAAGA